TCATATTTCCAAATAAAACCTCACCGAGGGGCTCTGTGAATTGAGAATTGAACAGATCAGTTTTAGGAACAAACTTCAACCCATAATGGTGGAGCTAGGAATATTCACAAGAGTGAAGAAGATGTCACAAGATAAAGAGGAGTGAGCCATGTGAAGAGATAAATAGGCAAAAGAGAGGGGGATAATCCCTTCCCCCAAGCCCTAGAAAGATGAGAGACAACACAGGCCATCAGATGACATAGGATCAGGAAGCTCACAATGCTTAGCAGCTGTGGTCCAGAGGACTTTGTGTCAGCTGGATGATGTGTTAGATCAGGAAACAGAGTGGTGGGGATGGGAAGACTTTAAGGGGAACCCTAAGAGTCAACATATGAGAGAGATTTGAGAAGACAAGGTGATGGAGAGGGCAAGGAGCTGGGATAACAACCTCCCCCATCCCATAAGGAAGACATGGTGCCCTTCATCAGGGGTAGAGATGGTGGGGAGGGGGTAATGTCACAGAAAAATGACAGTTGTCCCCATGTCAATTTGGAAATGCCTAGAGGTGCCCATGGGAGAGTTAGGGACAATGAGCTAAGCTGGAAGGATCTGGGAGTTATGTGCATGTTCCAGGAGAGAGGGGATGCTGCAAGGAGCATGTAGAGTGGAGCAAGACAAGCAATGAGTCAGATCAACATCGTGGGGAACAGCAGCATACATATTGCAGGTCGGGAAGAGAGGGAACAGTGGAGACATGATCAAGTACTGTATATACATTCATGAAATTAGGAAGGAATCAATATCTTTAAAGGCACTTGATCTGTTTGCCAACTGTAGACTCTATGTCTGCGTCTGTCCTGTCCTCGATGTTTTGAGGTCTTATCCTCACCCAAGCGCATAGGTCCGTGTCTTTAGGCTCCATTTTCTCTTTCACTAGAAGTCTAGGCAGCTGCGGTAAGCAGCAACCATACCACAGTCCGAATGTGGTGCTGCCTTTACAATCCCTCTGCCAAGAGCTTTGTTCCACTGCTTTTGAATTCAGCCTCATTCAGATTGTCAGGAAACAGAGAGAAACGAGCCAGATTCATTGTTAAAATACAGACTGACCTCTAGTCCAGTTCCTGACGGAATCCTTGTTCTCTTCTGAAACCTCACAAGACTGATCGTTTTTTTTTTCTGCGCACATTTCTATTAGTATTTCCTTCTTCCAGCTCCCACATGAGTGGCATGGTAAGCAGATGTTATAGCTAGCTTCTATACCACCTAGTTCTAAACTCTTCCACATTCTTCCTGTAAACCACCCCGGAAGGACAATGAACCACAAGCCAGGTGCATCACAACAGCCCTAGTTCTTGCTACCAACTTTCTGTATGACTTCTGTTGTCATGGTGATAAAAGAAGGGAGGAAGGATTTATTTTGCCTCATGGTTTGAGGGGATAAAGTCTATCATGTTGGAGAAGGCATCTCCACGGTGTCGGGAACATGTGGCTGGAATTTCTCACCTCCTCACGCCCTGCAGAACAGGAAGCAGAGAGAGCTCAGAAGGAGAGACTGTGTGATAAAACCTCAAGCCTCTGTGATCTACTTCCTCTGGTTAGGTTCCCCTTCCTGGAGTTCCACAATGCTCTAAAACAGCATCTCCAGATGGGGACCAAGTGTCCAAACACTTGAACCCGTGGAGGATGTTTAACATCCAAACTGTAGCAGAGGTGAGTCATCTTTCCAAATGCCGTGTCATCTTAGGAAGACGAAGACTGAAATCCCAATGTGCTATCACGGAAGCTGTTGGTCAGTGCAGTGACATCCGCTCCATGCATGTGGTGACGGAGGGGGCGGGGAGCCGATTTCAAAGAACTGTATGGACATGTAAGCAGAAGAAGCTCGGAAGGTGAGTGCAGGGAAGTTTAATTCTAACTAGAGACCATGGGGTAAAATCCAAGCCTGTACACAGGCTGACAGGAAAGGGAAGAACCTCTCCTAAAGGCTGGCAGAAGACAGCATATACCTCAGCAGCAGCGTACTTGCCGTTCATACTCAAGGCCCTGGGTTCAATCCCCAGCAGTGCAAAAAGGCAAAAAGGTAGCCCGATATGATGACTCATGATTTTAATCCCAGCACCTGAGAGGCAGAGACAGGAGGATCTTGGTGCTTTTGAGGTCAGCCTGGTGGTTTACATAGTGAGTTCTCAGCCAGCTAGGTCCACACTGTGAGACCTGTCTCAACACAAACAAAACAGTGGGCAGAGAGGTGACAATGGTTCTCAACCTGTGGGTCATGACCCCTTTGGTTGTCAAAAGACCCTTTCACAGGGGTCGCCCGAGACCAGGGGAAACACAGATATTTACATTATGATTCATAATAGCCAAATTACAGTTATGAAGTAGCAACAAAAATAGACTTATGGTTGGGGGTCACCACAGCATGAGGAAGTGTATTAAAGGGTTGCCTCCTTAAGCAGGGTGAGAGTCGCTGACTTAGTGAGTGTTAGGGAAGCTGAGGGGTCTGATGAAACCTACTGAGCCACTACTTCAAGAAAGAAGATGAAGGAAGAGACGCCTGGGAGAACTAGAGAGAATGGAGGGGCCTGGGGTCATGAGGACCCAAGACAGCCGAGAGGAAACACAGAAGAGCAGAATGGACCTCCTAGTTCTGCTTTCAGTGTCACTGAGAGTGGGTTCCGAGTGTTACTTTGCAAACTACTTGGAGAAAAACGCAAAGTTGCCTTAAAGGGGTTTGTAGATCATACATTTTGGTCACCGATGACTACAGGGATGGCTGCTGTTGTGAGACTAGAGGGGAGGCCATCACATTCCTCTTACCTTTATCAGAACCCAGGGATCAATGCTAGGCCTTTGTTAAGACAGACTCTCTCCTGGTTACCAGCCTGTTTCCATGAATAATGAAGGCTGATTTGCAGGCAGGGGCTGTGGACAGAAAGCTGCATACAGAGGCTCCCCAAGAGTTCCAGCTGTATTTCCTGAGCTGGCTGAGTGGCCGATCAATGGCGAGGAATGCCTCAGTTGTCCAGATGCATCGTCCCACGCTGAGTGCCCAGAGACCAGAGTTCTGATATGCAAAGTGAGCCTGAGACTCCTGTCAAATCAAACAAACAGGATGTTGGCTGTGCAGCAAACAGGCCTGCAAGCTGTTGGCAGCCGAATGTTGGGCTGCCAGAGCCAGGTCCAGCCACAGTATGGGCACTGCCCCAAGAGCTCAATGGCAATCTGTATTCCACTGCACACTCTCCGCCATGCTGCTGACCCTCCAGCAAGGCCGGCAAGCGAGGCCCATGCCCAGGATGCAGACATGCTGTTGTGGCACTACACACAGGCCCCTTTGTTCAGAAATACCTCATGCATGAGAGGAAATCGCATGCCTTGGTTTTTCTCTCCAGGCCTGGAAAGGCATCCTGGTGGAGTTGTCTACTCACCAGCATCAGGGGTGGGCTCGGAGGGTCTACTTATCAGCATGGGGGTAGGCTCAGAGGGTTTTGCTGAGAGCTACTTGGCTGCGGTACATCTTAAAATGGAGCTTGAAGGGGCTTGGCAGGAAGTGTGGTGAAACCTCGCTTGGGTGTCTTAAAGGCCTGTGTGGGGCTGGCCAGGGTCCCTGTCAGCCCTGATTGTTAGATGTATTGAGAAAGAGCCACAGCGAAGGCACTGTGGGTCCTGAGGCTTCGGTGCACTCCTTTCAGTAACAAAGGGCCTCTTGCTCTAGGTATAGAAAGAGCTGAAGAGCAGGACAGATTCAATGTGAAGCCCAGGACCCACTGAATAATTGTCATCTTCATCTTTCAGAGCTGTGCCACTGGCCCTGAAGTGGCCTTCCATCAGCTGAAGAACACTCAAGACCAATTTCAGGGCCTTCTCTCAGACACCAGCTTGTACCATCTGAAAATTGAGACATCGTATGCGTGCCGTGGTTCATGGGAAGATGGGTCTTTAGATTGCCATCTCCTAGGCCTCCTAGCACAGACCAATGGACTCCATTCCAACCATATAAGAGAATTAGTTTGGTGCCCGCCCTACCCCCCGCCCACCGCCAAAGAGATGAGTTCCTTGTTTGCTGAGTGCAGGAAAGAGTGGAACAGAAAGTGATTGAGTGCTCTGAAAGTTTGCTCCACGACCAAACAAGCATTGCCGTTTGGTGCGTTGCAGCGAGGAGGAGCAGGGTGAAAAGGGGTGTGCTTGCACTCCCTCTCTGGGGACCTTTTCTACGGACCAGAAGGAAGTTAGAACACTTGTCAGAGAGGTGGCAGGCCCAAAGGCTGGTGGCAAAAGGTTCTTCCACCAACACCTGGGGGCTGGCTTTCTCCTCCATGATGAGGGGTCCCCTAGAGAAAAATGAGTCCTGAGATGGCCCGGGTAGGATTCCTTTCACATCTCTCTACACCCAGTGAAGCATGGATCAGGGTCTGAGCCGAACGATTACTTGGTTGGTTGTTTGCATGAGTCTGTGTGTGGTATGTGTATACTTAGGTATGCAGGTGCCCTCACTCCTGTGTGGCAAAAGCCAGAGGAAGACACTTGGTGTCCTTCTCTCTCATTTTTGGCCTTAGTCCCTTGAAGCCAGGTCTCTAGGTGAACCTGGAGTTAGACTAGCAGCCAGCAAAACCCAGCTCTTTCTGTCTCTACCTCAACAGCACTGGAGTTACAGGAACCCGTGTGTCCACACCAGCTTTTTTTTTTTAAACTTGTTTAGTGGGGACTTGAACACAGGTCCTCATGCTTTGAGCAGCAAGAATTCTTTCTTGATGAGCCATCTCCCTAACTGCCTAGCTGGTTTCTAATGTGGGAGTATGTGTGTATGTGTGGTGTTCCTGGGACTGGGAGGAAACATTTCTTTGCGTTTGGGTTCTATCTGCTGCTTTTCTGGAAAGAATCCCTAATCTAGCATTCTGTGCACACTGCTGCTCCTAGGACTCTGCAGCACCCTCCAGGAGGAAGCCACCAAAGCTGAATTAGGCCTACACCAAGAACGTGTCTTCCTCTCCCACCCCTATCCCATGAGCTGTCTCCACCCCATCAAATCCTAGGAACTAGGAATTCGCCAAGAGTCAGACAGGCACCCTAAGTTAATAAGGTACCTGTATTTATCCTGGTGTCTTGCACATCTTTCTAGGGATCTAGCCAACCTCTCTTGAACTTGCCTATTTTTTACAGATCTCCCCCCCACTTGCATCCCACGTTACAGCCACCTGATAAACATTTGATCAGTTTATTGGTAGTGTCACTCTGGGGGCTACTACGGAAGCAAGATGGCTAGGTCCTGTCTCTGTGAGTGTGCTAGAGTGTCCTCTCTTGTGTTCTTGAAAGTTTTGTGCCTGAGGAGTTTAATTCTCTGCTGTGATCGTATGATCTTTATTTCATTGTTTATAATCTTCTAATCCATGTCTGTTTTAATCCTTACAATAATCCTGAGAAATAAGAGACTTGATCTCTGTTTTACAGAAGAGGAAACTGAGGCAGGATTCAAGGTCCCAAGGTTAATAGAGTCCTTTGAGTTCGGTATGTCTGACAGAAGTCCTGGTTCTTCTCACTCCAGAGCTCTTCCCTCACCCATTCCTTCTGGCCAGCAGCTCCTCCCCCTCAGTTGGGGACCCTGGGCTGATCCTTTTGAAGGGTTGGGGGGGGGAGTTCCAAAGCCAGGACAGTCCCTCTTGTCTTCTTTGGCCTCCACTGCATGTCTCACTGTTTTTCAGTTCTAAACTATAAAAAAAGAAATGGAAACAGTGACAAGAATGTTCTGTTGCCTCATAAGGAACCCACCTGCTGCCTACTGCCTGGTAGTCCCCTAAAGAGGCACAATCACTTCATTCTGCAGGTATAAATGAAAAGCCCAAGGTGCTAATGCCTGGAAGCCTTGACGTCCCATATAAGCAAGTTCTACTCAAGTTCCAATGATAATAGAATATTCCATCCTACTTGTTCTGAGAAAGCAGAAATAAAACCCACCAGTATCATACAGACTTTATGTTCCACAACAGTTTTACCAAATTCTCTTCAATTCAAATTATATATATTTGAGCATCTACTAGATGCCCAGCAATTGTGTCAGGTTCAAGGGATGAAGTGGTCACCAAAACAGATGCAGTCAGTACTTTTCTTTTGGGGGGCTGAGACTGGTTGGAGATAGTGTAGTTTAGATCTTGAATGATCCAAACGCCCGTGGGTCAAGGCTTAGACTCCTGTATGTAGCACTTGTTGGAGGTGGTGGTACCTTTAAGAGTTGGGGGCCCAGTGGGCAGAAGTTAGGTCACTGGGAACATGCCCTTCAAGAGGATATTGGTACCCCAGCCCTTTCTTTCCTTTTATCTTTGTTGCTTGGCAACCATGAGCTTAAACAGCCCTCTTCTGCTGCACTTCTACTGTGTACTATCATGCCACAGGCCCAAAGCAGCAGAGTCGAACAATCCTGGGCTGAATCTTTGAAACCATGAGCCAGAATAGACAGTTCCTCCCTCTACACTGATTGTCCCGTGTATTTTTTGTGACAGTGATGGAAAGTCAAATCAGAGGAATCTTTAAAAGGATATTAGCAAATGGCACAAATTTATAGAGTACTACGGAGCTGGCACAGACCAGCCCACATGTGATGGTCCATCTCCATTGTCAGCCTGACTAGGTCTGGAATCACCTAGGAGACACACATACCCATGAGGGTGTTTCCAGAATGGTTTAACTGAAGAGAAGAGCCACCCTGTGGGCAGCACTCTTGCATGGACTGGGGTCATGAGCTGAATGAAAAGGAGACAGTGAGCGGACAGAGCATCATTCGTTTATCTCTACTTCCTGACTAAGGACACACTGAGGCCAGCTGCCTCACACTCCTGTTACCATGCCTTCCCTACCCTCCAACTGTGAGCCCAGAGGAACACTTCCTTCCTTCCTTAAGTTGCCTTTTTTTTTTTTTTTTGGTCAGATATTTTGCCACTGGTGTGTTATCATTTCTTCACCCACCACAAAGGTCACAGCTTACATCCCTGTTACAAGGAGAAAGCACAACACACAAATGTCATACCACACCTGAGCCTTCAGAAACGAAGCCTAGAAGATCTAGAGAAGACTGGCTTTTTATGCTCAGTCTGATGAAAGAAATGGCTAGTTAAGGGAACCCATTCAACAAAGAGAATGTAACTAGTACTAACAGATTTCAGAAGACTTGGCAAGGCTTGTCCAGACTCTTACCTGTGTTTCTAAAGTCCTCCTCCGGTGTGGGACAGACTCCTGTCACTTACAGACCTTCAAGGCAGAAGGGGGGCTGCTCAGAGAATGACCTTTGAAGGTTTTAGGCCTTGCTTTGTGGCAAGGAGTTCTAGTTTCTATGACCCACTTGAGGAGGGGAGGAGAAAACAGAGATATTACATGGTGACCCTCCATGGGGGGCGGAGAACAAGAGAGAACTTACTTCTCAGGCCTTCCGATCCCCTCCAGTTCAAAGTGCTCAAATGGCCATACTTTGTGACGTCATTCTGGAGCCCTAATACCAGGGAGAAAGGTTGAAGATCCCAAAACAGTGACCACAAGGACAGCAGCTGTAGGTGGGCACAGTAGGCAGGACATGCTGAGGATGGCCTGGGAAACCTATAGGGGCTTGAAACCAGACTTTAGAGGGCAATATGAAGATACTAAGGACTTTATAGCAAGAACCTAACATAAGTGCTATTTTTAAAAAAATGTAATCACAACACTCAGGAGGCAGAGGCAGGCAGATCTCTGAGTTCGAGGCCAGCCTGGTCTACAGAGTGAGTCCCAGGACAGCCAGGGCTACACAGAGAAACTCTGTCTCAAAGGAGGAAAAAAAATGAGTTGGGTAGTGCTACAGCCCAGTCTGCAGAGTGCTTGTCCAGTACGCACAAAGTCCTGGATTCCGTTCCTAGAACTGCAGAAGTCTCCCACCAGGCCTGTAATCTCATCACTCAGGTGGCAGAGGCAGTATGGTTTCCTGGTCCTTCTCTGCTATACAATGAGTTTGAGGCCAGCTTGGGCTATATGGGAGGTGGGCTCAAAACCACGAATTCTGTTGTAAGGTAAGGAGGGGTGGGGACAACCATAAATGCCGATGGTTTTCAGGGATGCGGTGGTGGGTGCTGAAGAAGCAGAGGACAGAGGATGGACGAATCCAGAGATGTTGTTGTGATCCTATGGAAGAAAACTGATGAGCTCTGGTGATGGAGGTAAGGATGAGGAAAAGGGGAATTCAAGCATGGTTCCTCTCATTTACGTGAACAAGGAGGGGGAGGATGGTACCAGGGTTCAAGAAGGGACACCAGAGGAGGGATAGACTCTGGAGGAAAAAAAGTTTGGGGTATGCTGAGGTTCAAGTCTGTATGAATATGGAGATAACAGACATGTCTCCCCTCCATGGGTAAAATTGCTTTTCCTGACCTAGCAGCTGGGCCATGTCAACATCCAGCCCACCCTGGCTCAGTCTTCCCTAAACCCACAAAACGCAGTGCTTAGAGAGACTGAAGCAGAGACAAATGTTCCGCTGGCACCGAATGGTCCTCCCCTGCGCATTCTTCATTTCCTGGCAGAAGCATCCACGGAGAAATCAATTGCTGCCATTTGCGAGTGGAAGATGTTCTTGCTTCTCGCTGCAGAGCTGAGCCTTGCTCCCCCGGCAGCTGCCGCAGCCACAGGTGGAAGCTGAGAGCCCAGAGCGGGAAAGATGAACAGACACCCAGCCACCTCAGGCACCAGCCAAGCCGTGGCTCTGCCTGTCAACCCTGCTAATGGGATGACTGGCTGCTATTGACATAGCTTCTTCTCTCAAAAGGCAAATAAAGCTGAGCCACTGTGCAAGAGGCGATTGCAGGGGAAAAGACCCATTGCAAGATCCTGTGAGCTCTCCACAGTTCATCTTCCCCCCTAAATCCTTTCATTGATTATATTGTTTTTAAAAAGAAAGAGTGAAAAACAAGGTCTGCACCGCAGCTACGCTGTGCCTGCCTGCTATGATCCCCCCCACCCCGACTTGCCCAGCTAGTTTTTAGTCAATAGAAAAGAGCCTTTCCCAAGCTGCGCTCAGCCTGCACAAGGCTTGCCAAGCGCTTCTCCCAAAGTCCCACTACACCAAGATTTCTGTGCTTCAGGCCAGCCTGCTTCCACGGGAGCACAGCAGGCTTCTCCTTCTGAACAAAACAGGGCTGATGGCACAGGTACCTTTAAGTCTCTCCTCCTCCCCTGCCTGGGATCCCCTCTGCCTCCTTCACATCCTTTTTAATGATAAATATAAAAACCACAGTTAGGAATGACTAAAATACCTCGAAAGAGAAATGATAATGGCTTGCTCTTACAATGAAAGTGAATGCCCAGCCTCTCTGGTTCTCCCGGCCTCTGGTTCTCCAGACACGCAGAGGCTGGGTAAGGACTGGAGATGAGATGGCGGTGCCAGGTGGGTGTTGGAGGTCAAAGGCAGGTTGAGGGAGGTCAAGCTGAGATGCTATTTCACCAAATGTGCCTCCACTCTGGCCAGTGCTAGCCAAGTAGAGCTGGGGACTCAACAGGTGGGTTTAGCAGCCACAGAGACGCCCTAGGAAGACTGTAAAGGAGAATCGCACACAGGAAGAAGGGGAAGGGCAACTCCTTCCGGCTCACTGCTGGGACCCACCCACTCACTGGCCAAGTTTCCTGCCGAAGGGAGCTACTGTACATTCTTCCAGATTACACGATTCAGAGACAAGGCTCCATGCTTTCCACGGCAGGGGCAGAATTTTGCTCAACTTTATACACGACAGGCAGGGAATTAACCTCACTACCCAAGGCTGAAAAGCCCTACGGCAACAGTGCCCACCGTGGTCCTGCTTGACGAAAGTCTGTTCCATCACCTCTGAAAACAATGGAGGGGAAAGGGGAGCAGTTGAGCATGTACAAGGAGGGAGCGATACAAGGAGAGGGAAGAGGCGGTAGCTGGTACAAGCAAGCGAGAAGGAACATAAGGTCCCTTTCCTGGTACACCGAATGACGTCATCTTCTTTCTATAGCTTTCAGTAGAGGAGGAAAACCACGGAGAGAGACAGGCCTGGGTGGGTGTGAAAAACAAGGAGTTTATGGAGTGTGGTGGGGACCCAGAAAGAGAAGACAGACAGAGCATGTTGGCTTCGGCATGTGGTGCCTCCAGAACCCCCAGGGAGTACCGAGAGAGAGGGATAAAGATGGTAGAGCTCAGAGTGTCAGGGTCCCCACATCTGGGACTACGTTCTCAGAAGGTACATCGGTGTTGAAGCAGAGAAAAGACGAAGTGATGGGGATGCCAGCCAGCGTCCCGACCTTCCTGGTGAGACAGAGACCCTGGGAAGGTACTTGGCCCTGAAGACTGTGCATCCTTGGGAGAGGAGATTCTTGAGTGAGGAGAGTAAAGAATAGATTGAGACCCGCCCGTTTCCTGAGACAAGGGCAAGACTGGCCACTGTCCTCGGAGGCGATCAGAGACCCCCCTTAAAAATCACCCACAGTCCACAATTCCCTGTGTAGACGAAGGGACAACAGCACACACCACAATTTCCTTCCCAACATCAGGCCTTCGAGGTGACATGTGGGACATGTTGCCAAGGCGTTCATTTGGTAGGGCAGAGCTTGGGGTCCCTCTGCGGGCTGAGGAAGCTCCCTGGCTTTTCCTTGGGTGCCAGCATCCAGGAATCCCTGGACTATGGGATAGATTCCCTCTCTTTTGCCCTCCAGTCAGCTCCAAAGAAGGTGTGGGCTGGTTCTTTGGTGTCTATTTAATCTAGCCTGGGGGGTTCGTGATTGGAAAGCTAAAACCTCTATAACCACTAGCATTGTTAGAGGATGATCCCCGCGTGAAATGATTCACCTTCATTGCTCCTCTTTCACACCTCAGAATTGCCGCGGAGCCATCCAAGCTAAGGATGAATTAGAAGAGTTCTCAAGCTGGTGAAGACCCGTGCTCAGAACTTTTATTAAAAAAAAAAATCCTCCTCCCGTTCTGTACAGAAATCTGCACAGGAGCCAGGCCTGAAAGGAGCCTCTGATGTGATTATTCTTATTAGAAACGTGGTTCAAACTTGCATCCCAAGTAGCCTCCAAGTGTTTTCGGCTCTGTCTTTCCAGGATGCCTGAATAGCATCTACCCAGCATTTATCCTGGGTTAAAGCCATAAAATCCTCCACACCCTGTGTTTACCCTTATCACCCCTCCCACCAAGATTATTTTGAGAAGAAAATCAGCAAGCAGTTCTTAAGGTTGCCACTCCCCCCTCTCATATTCTGTGCATTTTGAGTTACCCCAACCAGTGGTGTGGGCAGAGGTTCCCCTGAAGTTCCAACACATCCATCAGCCTCACGGCTCCTGGAGGAACAAGGGCACACAGTTTCTCCTTAGGGCTCTCCCAGCGTCTGAGGGCTCAACTCCCACTGCTTTGGTCAGGAGCCCTTTGTATAAAGTCCCATATATCCAGTTATCTCCTGTATAGACAGGAGGGGAATTAGCTCCAGCTGCTCCCATCTGATTATTTCTTCACCTCCAAAGATCTCTTCCCCTTCACTTCCACTCTCTCTTACTTTCTGGAGCCTTCTAGCTGCCCTCTAGAGTTGGTAGAGCTATAGTTGAGGGAGCTGTCCAGTGGGAGCTCTGGTTCCTTCCTGGGACATAGGAGCCCCTGCTTGAGGGTGTGGATCATTCTAGAGGGAAGGCGATATTGCATTCTTCTTTCACGCTGCCTCGCTCTCCACACAGGCTCTCATACTAACCCAGCAGTGGCTTTGCCAATTCAAAACCACCCGCTCTCCTGTCTTTGCTCTGGATGATGACCATTCCAGATTTTCTCCATCTCTCATGCCTTGGAAGAAAAACTGGTTTATTCATCTTTTCATGACTCTGAGTATTTAATGGTCAAAGAGCCCCACAGTGTAATAAAAGGAAGCACACTAGTTACTGTCTCATTGCTGTGACCAAATACTTGAGGGCTTGCTGGGTCTCTTTGTTTCTCTTCCCAAAGTGACCATATTAAATAAATCTCTCTTTCTGCTTTCTGTTACTAACTTGGTTCTTTTTTATTGGCTTATGGAGGGCAGATGGCTGGACCTGACTTGAGAAACAGGTTGTGACCCCCAAGTTCAATAACACTGCTTAACAATCAAATTTAGAAAATCTGGGACTCTGGGTGGGAACCTCACTTTCACCAAACATTCAAGCAAGCTAAGACCAGAACCACTGCTGTATAATAGATCAGTTAACCAAACGACCAACATTTGCCAGGAGACACTGGTAGGTCAACATCTAGTAAGGTGATGAATGATGCGTACCTTTACACATCACACACACACACACACACACACACACACACACACACACACACACTCATCCATAGTGCAGATTTTCTTAGAGTCCATTAGGGAGTTGGAAGGAAACTCAAAGCGTATACACCCACTCCTGGATGAGGAGCCGAGGTTGAGGACTCCACCTGGTCTAAAGCGGCTGGACAGCAGCATGGGAATGAGGGGGATGGCAGAGCTCCTGCTGTGCTTGTCCACTCACTTCACTTTCCTTTTGTGTGTCCCAGTTCCGAGCATCCACCCGGGAATTCCCTTGTCTTACCCTCCTCCCCCTTTCCTTCCCACAAGTCAGAGCAACTATCCGGGCTATTCTCTTGCAGGCGAGCTGATCAGAGCCCATAGGAAGGAAGCCGCAGCCCCAGGAACTTCCTTCTCCTGTTTCTAAGGAGTTCCTGAGATGATAGTCAGGTTGTTTGCAGGTTAGGTGTTTGTACCACACATGCAGCATTCTGCGGCTTCCCTCCTGTAAAACTATTGATTCTTTGGGCAGCTGACAGGCAGCTTTGATGTGGGGATCTGTTGTGGTTTCTACAGGAAGGAGATATTGGCGGGAGGATTTACAGCTGTTTGAAGAATTCTACTGCTCTGGCAATCGTTAGGGAGGCGACTGCTGAGCCATTTCCCTGGCTGGAGGCAGCTTCCCTGAACTCTGTCTTTCCCTGAGAAGGATGGAGAGGAAACTGAAGTGCTTCCAAATAAAGATCTGAGTAATGAGATTGGATCTGAAGGGATTTGTTATTAAAGACTAAGAATTTCCAGATGCGGTCCCCAGCACCAGCACGTTTTGCTCCTTCCAGGCAGAGGGGCTGCTCTCATATAGAAGGGAGGCAGGAAGGACACGGGGTGTTTATTGTCCCCGTCCCCTACTCATTTCCCCTTCACATTTTCCTGTCATTTGAGAGTTCCCCCATCCTGTTTACAGCAACTTTCAGCAAGTGAACAGTGCCTTCTGGGGACCTCAACTCCACTCTGTCGCTCTGCAGCACTACAGTCAAGATTTTAATGTGTGGCACTGTGTTTTAATAGTCTATTAAACGACAGCGCCACACATTAGCTGGCTACGGCACCACCGCAGACATAGCAAAGATGTGGTCTCAGGAAAGCACTATTTACTTTAATGAGAAGGGGCTGTGATGGACTGAGCATCCCTGCAAAGCAAGTCAAGAGGACGGTAGTGAGGGGAGAGGACAGACAGCCTTGATCTAGGAGAAGCAAACTCTCTTCTCAGTCCCCCCACCCTCTTCCTTCAGCACAGCAAGCAGGGAAAACCTGGCCCCGACAGCCTGTCAGTGGCATGGCTGAAAGACCTCTGCCAACCCATGAATTTCAAGGTCACTCGGCACTCCAGGCCCTTTCCTCCTGGTCTCGAGGTTGGAGGGCTTTGAGACATGTGGTCATTTGTCTTAGTATGTATGTGGGGTGGGAAGGAGACAGGCCTTGGAGCTGTTATTTTCATGGTGGTTCTTTCTGTCTCAGCAACAGACAAGGCAGGGATTTCAGACTCTTTTCTCTTTCACCATTTCAGAGAAGGCTAGAACGAACCTATTTTTAAGAGAAAAGTACAGGGATTCTCATGGGCTGTGATATCAGAAAGCGACCCCATCCAGTCATCGTGCTAAAACTCCAGGCAGGTTGATTTCCACCTACACTATTCTGCAGCAGAAAAAAAATATCTCTGAGAAACGAGCCTTCCAAGCCTCACTCATAGGAGAGCTGTGGGAAGCATTTTCCTAAAAAATCCGCCCTGACTCACGGGCTTTTTCCAAGGGTTCCTCCCCATTCTACAGCAACATTAAAAAACCCAATTGCAATTGTGAGAAAGAGGATTTCTCCCCAAGTCACACTCTATATGCAAACCCAGGCCCGCAGGAAGAAATGGGAAGACAGGGGAAATAGCCCCCAAATCAGAGCACAACAAGATTTCCCCAACTGCTGCAGCAGCCTGCTCATTCAGCCTTGCAAGTAATCGCGTTTTTACTCACCCAGTGACATTTTATTCTAGGTGAGCAGACAGGAATGTTAATTCCATTCACGCTCTTTTCCAGGGATTGGCTTGAGAGAAGGGATACCCTTTCTCTTCTTTGAAATGAAAGCCTGGTGAGGAGGGCAGGCAGGCCAGGTTGGCAGGTGGGATTTGAAATGGAGCTGCATAAGGATCTTGCCCTCTGCTACGGTGGAGCGTGGAGTCTCTCTTGCACCATTCAGTCTTCTAGGGGCCTGGGAGTGGAGCTACAATAAGGCAACTTAAGAAAGGGATGGTGGTGGTGGGTTTTGTTGTTGTTGTTGTTTGTTTGTTTGTTTTTTCTTTTAAAGATTCGAGTACTCAGAGCTGGGGATGTAGCTCAATGACTGGGCACACTTTTGTAGAATGAGCAAGGCCTTGGGTTCAATTCTCACTATTACTTTAAAAAAAACACATCTCTAAACCCTTTCAAAACATATTCTCTGTCTGAAAGTACATATATGTTAGAGAGGTATTTTACATATATCATTATAAATCAACAGCATGGGAAAGCAAAATGTAAAGAAAATGACCTCATCCTTCACTTTCTCTCTAATTCCTCCATGCTTTTACTTCTTTGGATTGGTGTACTATGAAGGGACCCATCTGTATCTGTAGAGAAAGGAGACAGACACATACCTTCCCTCCTCAGTCTTGTGCAACTTCTCCAATGGGCTCAGCGTGTCTGGGTACCACCTTCAATATCAACTGCAGTCCTGGCAGCCATCAGTGAGGAGTGAGTTCACAGAGAGATGCTGGGAGGTAGGCAAAGGTTGGAGGTCAGATGGGACCCAAGAGGAAAAGAGCTGAACAAGAATTTCTTTGCAAGGTTTTGTGGTAGCTAGCTCTGCCTTCCCACCTCCTATTAACAAAAAGATTGTAGACACACAAAGACAGCATTGATGGCCAAGGTGGGGATTTGCCTTAAGAGCCTGAAGTGTTCTGAATTTGTCTCTACCCATTCACCCACTTACTCACACCAAAACTATGCGTATCTGTCCTTGCATCTCATGGTAGATGGCATTAGTGACCCAGTTCCTCACCCTTCCTCTGTCAGGGTTCTGTACCAGGGAACTTTGCATTGTCTTCCTACTGGATGGAGTTCCCATCTCTGGATGCTATGTGGCCGCACATCCTCCTCCTCTGACGAGTGGGGTCTTACTACAGCACAGGTAGGCTGTTTTGCTTCCTCCGGCCTTTCTGCTACCATCATGAAAAGCCAGGCTCCAGCTAGCCTTTAGTCCTCAGACAAGCAGGAGAAACCCGTGGAGCACAACTCTCCCAGCTACATTGCCCAGTTGAAGTACAGGTGCATGAACCGGGCCAGCAGATACCAGCCACGCTCCATCCAGATCAGACCTAAGAAAAGCAAACATCGATGGTGGCCAGCTACCACCACTTTGCAGTTCCCATGGTGCGGCAGTCTGACATGGTCATGGCTGATACAGACACCTCCAGTCTTCCAGGCACTGCTAGGATGCCAGAGAAGACAGGCAGCAGCCTAGAGACTGCTTTACAAGGCTCACTTTCCATGAGGGCTCATTACAGTTTACATAGATGCCTCACCCACTTAGTTCCTTCTGTGGCCAGTTTTGAGATGGGGAATCTGAGGCATGTGAAGGCTAGTCAGCATGCTAATGGCTGTGGCCTCACAATAACTAGAGCTGGAACTCAAACCTGGGTCTTCTAATTCCAAGTGTTAGGCTTTTCCACCACCCATGGGAACCTCCACCTGCTTTTGAAGTCAGCGCCTCTGACTGGAGTTGCCGATGGCCCTGAACTTGGTGGAAGGAATTTGAAAAGTGACCCAAAGAGGACAGCTCGGTGACAAGGAGAGACAACTGCTATTTTTACCCCCCTGAAATGGTCCCCCTTTTGCAATTAAACCAATCTCTGTTTACAAGTATTTAGCATGGTTCTAGAAATTGCATTTTGAAATTATGCGAACAGAGAGAGAAGACAGCCCACACAGAGAGTGATTTCTCGTGGGTAATTGGCTGCTGGTTCTGGCTCCAATGATGCCTTCTTTTTAGAGTATAATTAGAGATTTCAAAGGAAACTGTTAGAGATGGCTGAAGTCTCCAAAGAAAGGCTTTTGTAGCTCCTCCTATCAGGGGCGCTTCTGAAATGCACGCTGACAAAACACCCTTTGTTCTTTCCTAATGACCTTTCAAGAGACTTTTCAAAGTCCTGGTTTCCAAGACTTGGAAAGATTGATTCCAGGTCAGCAGAAGCTAAACTTCTCTCCTTTATGCTCAAGGTCACCTCATGATCATGATGGCTGCTTCTGACTGAGCCCCTACATCCGCATTTAAACATCAGGGAGGAGGAAGGGCTGCCTCCTCCCAGCTGAGTCCGTTATTTTTAGGGGAGATTTGTCCAAAGTTCCACCACACAGCTCTTTACTTATAACCCATTGGTCAGAATGGAGACACCCAGACACAGCTGGTCTTGAGAGAGACTGGGATCAGCCGAGCTGAAAATTAGGGTTCTCTTGCTAAGGAGGAAGACAAGAACGGAGGTTGAGGCAGAAAACTGGCTTCAGTCACAAAAAGGAACAGTAAAGAATCCTGGCCTCAAGTGTTAGATGAGTGTGTGAGCGTACAGTTTGGCTGATTAGAAACCCACAGTAAAGCCAAAGATGTCCGGTTAGCTGGTGAGCACCATGCTCAGACCTTGAGCAGAGAGGAGTTTCACCTTCTGCCTCACTGTTAAAGATGCTACCCATGATTTGGATGGAGACATGGAGAGTCCACTGTTCTCTCTGCAGACAGCACAGACGGGGCATGTCCGCTACCGCTAATTTAAGAGCCCCAGGAAGACAGAGAGCCTGGGTAAAAACTAGCAAGAGGAAACACAGCAGGAAGAATGATAAAGCTTGATCTTTGGTCTAAGAAAAATAACTGCACTCTGGTCTTGTTTACATGAGATACCTAGAGTAGTTACACCCAAAGAGAATGAAAGAGGATGCAGGTTGCCAGGGACTTGAGGGAGAAGGGACTATTGTTTGGTAGTACAATGGCTTTATAATGGCCATGTGTTGTTAATGGTGTGGTCCCCATGTGGTGTTAACTGGAAGATGATTAAACCTTGAAAAAATGAGGCCTGGTGAGAGGATGTAAAGTCTCGGGGTGTACACCCTTGAAGATGAGGGATAATAGGACCCAATCCTTTCTATGTCTCTGTCTATGCCCCTCCCCCCTTCCAGCTTCCATGGGGTGAACTGTTTCCTTTCATGCATACTTCCTACCATGTGTTGCTTTACTACAGATCCAAAGCAACAAGGCCAAGGATGATAGGCTATAAATATGAGCCCAAATAAACCTTTCTTCCTTATAAATTGATTATCTCAGTCACTTTGTCACAGGGACAGAAAGCTGAAAAGCATACATTGGTACTTGGCTTGCATTTTGCAAGGGAAGAGCTCTGGAAATAGCTGCACGGTGTGCTGGCATTAGTTACGCAGGGGCATGGATGTGCTTAACACCACTAAACGGCCCACGTAAAGTGGATCTGACAGTCAATGTCATCTTATGTGTATCCTTTGATAGAAATGGAAATAAAATAGCTGGATAAATGTTGGTGGAGAGCGGCATTGCTTAGCTCCAGATTTAACCACCGTGTGTTAACAGGAAGATGCAGCTACCAAAACGTGTGTTTGGATCTGGCCCTCGACAGGAGGGAAAGTGGAAGCTAATGTTTGCAGTTCATTTGTACCCTTTGATGGGCCCCCAACGAGGTTCCCGCATGTAAGTGGTGCCATTCCCGGAACACACACAGCTAGCAATGACATGTCTCCAGTCTTTCCTCAGCCTGCACATGTCCACTTCAGAGGCAGGGCCATCGGTGCTAGGAGCTTGAGCAACTTCAAAGTCCCATGTGCCCCCAGTCAGCTTGTCCTGAAGCACCAGTTGTGTGGAGCAACTCCTGGGAGAGCACCTTCTAACTGGCTTGAGGCACATTGTACTGGCATGGGGGACACTCTAGCCAGGTAGTGTCAACAGCAATTGTTTGTTTTTTATTAAGCAATTAGCTGTCTCTGTCACTTAGCAGAGATCTCGGGCCATAGGAAGTGAAACGTGTTGAGAAGATGAAAGGAGAGTGATGGGGCAGAAATGCCTTGCAGGGTGGCAAAGGCTGAGAGAGCACCAGGAACTGGGGACAGTGGGGTACAGCAGACAAGGAGCCCGGAAGCCACATCACCTCAACGATGTCCTTCAGGACAATGGAGAAATTGTCCCATGCCAACACATGGCCCCAGAAGAATTTCCCAACTGGTTAGTCCCAACTGGTTAGTTCAGTGTTTCTCATCTCACTGTTCAAGTTAGAATCAGCTGAGAACCCTTAACAATGCCAACGTCTGGTCCCCACCCCAGGTCAGCTCAATGAGAACACCTTGGAAGAGACCTGGCATACTGTTGAATCCATGCACGTGATTCTCTTGTGCAGCGGGCTTGGAGACCCTTGTGAAGGGCTGGTGGAGGCTTGGGCCCATTAGAGATTTCCCTCAGGGATGGTGCTCAGTGACTTCATCCCTCACAGAACATGCCTTCCCCCTGCCCCATTTCTGCTTTAGGGGCAAAAGCACTTCCTTTTCTAAGACTGAGAATCCCAGGAGAGTGAAGGATCACAGATGCTGGAGCCAGCCCAGCCAACCTCTCCACTCTTCCCAGGATGCCGACTGACATCTTTACTTCAGGTCCACTCTGAGCATCCCCTGCCCTACTTTTCTTTCTTCCCTGTCGCTGAGGAGACCCCTCCCTTCTCCAGCTCTGTCCCTCAGCTGATGTGCAATGCCCACTGTCCTGAATTGTTCACCGATGCCAAGCCCGTGAGCCTTTCTCTGCTTGTCTTACTTGCCTGGGTATGCAACACACTTGAAGCCTTTTGCCTTGTTGTGGCCAACGGAGGTTTCCACAATTGTGTCTGATGGGCTACACACAGCAAATAGTGAAGGAAGTTGCCTCAGCATAAGGACCGTGTCTTAGCCCTCAGTGCTCATCACTCAGAGGCCCACGTGCTAAAAGCTTGCTTCTCAGTCTGTGGCACTTCCTGGGAGGTGCTGGAACTTCAAGGAAGTAGGGGCTCAGTAGGAGGAAGTTAGGTCCCGAACAGTAGTGACCTCTATTGGAAATAGTTTACTTTTTAGCTGTTCTCAAGGACACAATGTTTTTTAATGCCCTCAGCTGTTTCTTGCTCCCATCCTCTCTGTTATGGGGCCAGAGGTCAACCTGCCCCAGGACAGGGAGTCTTGAAGAACACATGAGATAAACATACTCAAGTCTAAGACAAGGTAGGGCCCTCCTGGAACCCAGGGTCTTCCTTCAACCAATGAGAACAGCACATGACAATTCACCACTGTAGTATACATCACAGGGGGACAGGCCATTGAAGGGGATGTTGGGACTGCAATCCCTCCTGTCTTCCCACCTGTTTCCCAGCTACCATGAGGCAAACAGACTTTGACCTCACTCCTGCCATGATGTAGTACTGAGTCTCGCAACTGTAACACAACACAGCCAAGTGGCCATTGATGAAAGGCTCTGAATCCATGAGCTGTGGAAAATATTTTTCCCTTTATGTTAATTTTCCCCGGGGACTTTTTTCACAGTAGCAGGAAGTAAGCTAACATGCTGGGGAATCTATAGTATTATTAAAACACTGCTTATTTTAGTCAGGTTTGCCCACTGGCTCTACAGTCTGGTAGAAAACAGTAAGGAGGAATCTTTCTTAGGTTACTATAATTTTGTATAATTCCCTATGTTTTGGGGAGGTTGAGGAGAAGGCTTAATCTTGTTACTTACTTTCCCTCCAGAAAGAAAGAAAGGTGAGGAAATTAATTCTCATTTTATACCCCTAGTAAGGAGTAGTTTTTCCACCCAAAGACTGGAATCCCTTTCCACCTTCACAGGGTGGGGAAGCTGATTGCAGCAGAGAAGAGAAAGGGAACCGACAGGGAGCCAGGAGTGGGGGAGAAAGTGGTTAACAGAAAATGTGAGTTGAGCATAGCGTTTCCCGCAAATAAAACAAGAGGTCTGCTTGGATCTCTGTGAGACGATAATGGCGTAGGACACCCAGCAAAGGCCTCAGCGAAGGAGACTCAAGAGAGAAGCCGAGCAGGCACCATTTCTTTGATCTACCGTGTTTTCATTTGTTCCCCGAGGAGGAGATATTTTAAGTTGATATTAAACTTCCTAGATTTGATGTGCCTAGAGCTAAGTATGAGTAAACATTGGAAATATATATGTATGTATATACATATATATATATACATATATATGTGTGTGTGTATATATATAAAACATGGGTATGTGTACATATTTCTATAATGTTCATGCTCAGTGATTATCTTACTTGTGTTTGGGTTAAAAGAGAAACAAAACAACAACAACAAAAAACAACAACTCAGGACAACACCAAAATTTTCAGGCACTGATATAAACGAACAACTAGGTTAAGGTGTCCACCCCTGTTATGGTTCCAAATGCTTTGAGCATGTCCCCTGAGAGTCCATGCTCTGAAGTTTCATGCCCTCTGTGAGGTATTATAGGGTGGGAAACCCCCCATCCCCGTGATGTTTAGAGGTGAATACTTGGGGAGACAGTTAGGTTTAGGTAAGGTCCTCATAGAGATCCCATGATTGATTCCTTGTGGCTTTATATGAAAAGTCAGAAAATTTAGAGTGTGTTAATGCCTGCCTGCCTGTCTTTCTCTGTGTAATGTGCTGCCTTGGGACTCAGTCAGCAATATCCACTACCAGATACAAACCCTCAGACTCCAGCCTCAGTACCATGAGCTAGAACAAACCCCTTTTCTCTACAGAATTATCTGGCTTCTGGTGGTTCATTATAGTAATGTCAAAACAGACTAATACAGTCTCGCTGTCAAGGTTTAGTGCGCAGGAAGGAAGCACTGAGTCAGGCCATTTCCACAACAGGGCTCACTCGTGTGGCTTGCTGTGTGCTAGGTTCTTACCTCTTCTGATTTAAATGAAATGTCCTCTTCTTCTTTCTTGGGCCTTTGAACATTCGGTGGTGCTATATTTTGCCCATGTGTTTCTGTCAACAGACCATCTCAAGCTGAAAGTTCCCTGAGGATGAGCATGTTCCTGAGGTAAAGTGAATAGTTAGCAGGTGGGAGGCTGGGAATCCGGTTGTGGGGTCCATTTGAAAACAGCTCTCTTCACAAACCATTGCTCATGCCTGCAGTTCAAGCAGTCTGTCTCCCCTTCATCTGTGAGAGGACTTTCTCTCCTCCTTGCTTGAAATATTTTTAGGAGAATTAGGAGATTAAACGAATAGCATCTGATTGAGAGAAATGAAGCCTGCTGCTAAAACTGGACTGACCTACATTTTGTGGGGGCTGAGTGCTTTATTCTCCATATTCCTTTAAGAGTTGACTCCTGGTTCATTATTTCTCCAGAAGGATTATGATAAAGATTAGTTGTGTTTGGAGGCACAAACAGTCAAGCCAATATTTGGTATCTGTGTATAAGATAGGGAGGTACAGGAGGCAGCTGAGACCCACGTCAGATGGTATTTGAATTCCCCTTGGCGGTGTTTAGATGATATTACCCAATTCAAGTGCTGAATGTGCTAGTCTTTATGCTCTGGACTGACCCTTTTGCAGTCAAAACCTTATAGAAAGCAATCAGAAGCATTTAAGGCTGGGATTTCTGAAGCTGAGAGTAGCCCCCTGTGTGCTTCTTGGATTGTTGATTAGATTTTTCTGGAAACATTTTCTGATCTAGAGAGAGAGAGAGAGAGAGAGAGAGAGAGAGAGAGAGAGAGAGAGAGAGAGAGAGAGAGAGAGAGATCTGCAGAGGAGGTTTGCACCTGTTTTGAAA